GGGCGCTGACTCTTATATGCCATGTATCCTCTTTACCTGAAGGTTTATTTTTCGTGGCTGCTGACCTACTGTAAATGTTTTTTCAAATGACTATAATAATAAGCTTCATTTTACCTGGGATTATTGAATCTGTGCTAGACTAAAGAAGTGATTTTCTATTTCCTTCCTCTATAAATATTGCAATATATATATTTTAAGTTTTTCCCATTCTTTCAGATTAGTTGCTCAAGAGCTGTTCATATTTACTGGATGTCTAAAGTGGTTCTCTGTTGTTGTTTTTCTTTTACCATTGTAATTGTATTTATAACTTCCAAAGTGTAAGAAGCATTTATTTTTAGAAAGTTGTATTATCTCAATTCATACTTCTTTTCTTTTTTATAGACTACACTGAAAGAGTTCGAGATCTAATTTAGTATATTATAATTAATGTTTCACAAACTTTTAAAGTTTATAGTGGGGTACTTCATTTTTCAAATTTTAATTATTTTTGTTTTCTGTACGAAATGTTTAGTCAAGTATATTTTAAATGGATACTTCTGTTTTTAATGTTGAGTCATGTTTTCATTCTGTATTGGCAGAGAAACACTATCAAAAGGACGTGCATCAAATCCTTTCCTCGCGTGCTAGTGATTCAACTGAAGAGGTTTGAATATGACTGGGAAGCAAACCGTGCTATAAAATTTGATGATGTCTTTAAGGTGAGTATTTTTTGTTGTGTGTAAGATAGTTAGACTGATTCCACATAAATACAGCTGATGTGAGGGGTGCCAAGGATGTATACTGTCTGATATACTCCTATTTTAATATTGTATAATCTGAAGAAAGGGAACTAAATAGTTTCGTATACCATAATTATTCCTGAGTTTTATATACATTTATTTTAACATCTTTTAGCCTTGAAAACTTTTGTATTTGAGACCAGTTTCAATTTTGAAGTGCACTCTAAATCATTGATTTCTATCATAAAGAAGATACTTATGCTTTCATAGAATTTTTTGTTTTGCGTCAAGTTAACACTTTCACGTGTTTGTCGACTGCTTACTCACTTTTCACGGCATTCACTGCAAAATGACTTATGATTATATTCTTTTTTTTTCTAGATGTTTTTCTCAGAATGTAATGTCTAATTAGACAACGTTTTTTAATTCAGCAAAGAAATGATCAGATATGTTTCTTATGCTCATATTTTTTGGAACACGTTTTAAACTTCTGTGATTACAAGTGTTGTGATTTAAGAAAATTTTTATTTGTTGTGAAATTATGTACATAACTGTTTTTGTATTTGTACAAATACAACATTATGAAGAAATAAATATAAAAAGCATATACACAAGGTGAACAAATTACAAATACAACATTATGAAGAAATAAACATAAAAAGCATATACACAAGGTGAACAAATTACAAATACAACATTACGAAGAAATAAATATAAAAAGCATATACACAAGGTGAACAAATTACAAATACAACATTACGAAGAAATAAATATAAAAAGCACATACACAAGTTCCTCATTAAGTAACACTGAGCTACAGTCTCATGTAAGTTTATATAAGTAAGGTGTAAACAATTTGTTCACTGATATTAGTTTCCATGGACGTTGAATATAACACCATACACAGTAGAGGGAATACAGGAAAGGGATGTACTCAGCTCATCCATACAAAAAAATGAAGAGGAACTGTCATCACCAGCTACTATATCTAACTCTGCAGTGTATGACTTGGTGGGAGTTGTAGTCCACAGTGGTCAAGCAAATGCTGGACATTATTATTCATACATCAAAGAGAGAAAGTAATTGTGAATTATTATGTAGAATTTGAAGTCTATATCCTTCTTTGTTTTGTTTAAAACAAAAAATGTTTTATATATTACATTTGTGTTAGAAATTCAGATTTGTAAGAAAGCTTAGCCTTTAAACAAAATGCATTGAAATGAGATTAATGTAAATTCTTCAATGAATATCATAGTATTATTCTTTATATCTCATATTTCTGAAGTAGGCACATCACTGTTGAAAAATTTAATAACCAATTTTTTTAGAGGAGTATCTTGTTTTATAAATCTTTGACAAAGGAAAAACCTATAATTATGAAAGACCTAATAATTCAAAAGTTTTTGTAAAAATGCATTACTCTTATTATGAGGCATAAACTTCTCAATAAAAGATAGTGTGCAATTAAAAAGCGATTCAATATCTCACTTCTTATCAGAACAAATGCCTTATTTTAATGAATTGTAAATACCTAATAAAGTGTGAAAGAAATGTGGGTAAGTATATTATGAAGGACCATCTACAGTTAAAGAGACCAAACAGCTCAAATGCTTTCAGAAGAAAATGTAATGTAACTATATAGAGCAGAACTAAAACAGTTTACAACATAGCATATTAATTAATGAGACAGTCCTTCTTAAAAAAACTGAAATACTTAATGTCATAAATCAATACATATGAAAACCAAAACCTGGAATGATTTATAGGTTGTATTGAATCATCAGTTGGGTATTTTTATGGTTGAAGTTTAGAAATATATCCTTGGATATTGCTATTATTACATTCTTCCTACAACTTATCCTTCTATACAAAATTTAATTGTTTTATAAGAAGCAAAACTAGTTAACAGAAAGTTCTATGCACAAGTATCACTTTAGCCGTTAACTGGAAACAGTGTGTCAACATGTATAGTAATGATTTTCTGAGGATGAACAAAGTAAAGATGCTGTTTTATTGTATAATTATAAGATATGCAGTGGTGCAGATTTATTAACATGTACTATCTATATCAGTAGGAACGACACTCTGGTAACCCAAGGTAAATGGTTAAAGTTCAATGACATCACTGTGGAGGAATTTGAGATGACAGAAGATAGTGTGGAGTGCGAGTGTTTTGGTGGAACTTACAAAGCAAAAGTGTCAGATTCTGGTAAGATGAACTTATAAATTGGAAGTAATTTTCAAAATATTTATCACATATATATAATACTGACTTTCTTATAACACTTTCTCTATTTCAGCAGTTGTGTTTAAAAGGAAGAGATGGCAAAAGCACTATAAAGTGACTATTTGGCTACAGCCACTTCCTTCCTCTTACTTGTGTTTATTTGTTGTTATTACCAGAAGCTTATAAAGAAAATGCATTACAAGCTACTTATATTGTCACTATGTTTTGTTTGAATGTTTCAAACATGTCTAACAAGAATAAAACTTCCTTCAATGTGGCTGTTATTGTTTATCAGATTTACTGTTATCTGACTTTTAAGTTCAATTTGTAAATGTAGACCTGTCTGTGTATATATGTATTACACATCAAATTTACATTGTTTATAAATAAACTATCAAAATTACAATGCATTGACTCACCCCCCATGCACAGATTAGCTATATACCTCTTCAAGTTCCGCCATTTTGCTTTAGAGATTTACATGCCATCGGCCTTGTGAAGCTCCCACTTAAAATTCACGTGAAAGTACATGAATTTGTGCTACTGCACGATGATGTATTATGCAGCAAAACCCTCCGTCAGTAGGAGTGCGATATTCCTCCCTGTACAAATTCTTCCTTTACATTCATGAATGAAGATCCTTATTCTTTTCTTTGGCACAGCCCTGCAAAGACGTATTTCTTTGTATTTCAGTGTGAATTCTTTTTTGGCTGATGTGAATACAAATGTCACTCAAAGTTACCAACAATTTAAGAAGTTATTTTCCTCTTGAGATCGTGACAGCCATCGTGTATTATGAAAGGTGCCACTCAAGTTGACATGTACAGTAAGAAGAAAAGTAACGTAACATTGTCCAACATGTGTTGAGGTCCATGTTGTCATCCGGACCCTTTTCCTCCATCCCTGCCACACATTTCTCTCCACAGATTTTGAAGCTAAAGTTGAGTAGGATGAAATGGAGTGATTTTTCCACCTAATACTTCACTACCTTCTGAATATCTCTCGAATTTTCCCACCTTATGTATGCCTCCTATCCATTGTTTCATTTTTTCTCCCGAGTTAGTGCTGCTCCTGGGATTTATTTCGGATTTCAATTCGCTCCCACTATTTTATGACTTGCCTTTCCTGCCTTATCGGGTAACATGTAAACATTATTGTTCAGATATAATTTATTCTTCATTTACACATAACTCGGAGGACTTAATGTTTAGACATCATTATTACTCCTTAACATGTCCACGTACGATATATTGTATAGAACTAGTTCATTACTCCTCTACTTGAATTTCTTTTTTCAGTGTTATTTCTCTTGTTTACAAATGTGTTTGTCCTGTCAAGATTACACTCTTATTGTCCTTTTGTAACTGGATCCTCTTGCCTTACTCCATTATGGGTTGGATCTGACAGCAGGTGTTTGTATGCTCTCTCTAGTCTCATCTCTTTAGCTTTTCTCCATGCCGGCATATGAACTACCCTCCGATCATTCTTCACAAATTAAACTATCTCCACCATCCAGCTGTCTCGTCTCCATGGGCATGCAAATTTCCACCAATGTCCATTCTTCGATTAACCCTACACTTGTAATGGGTGTCAGTATTCATTTATTTATTCCTTGCTCACTGTTCTTCTATTTTTGGATTCCACTAGACAGCTAGTGTTGCCTCACAGGGTATACCTACCCAAAATTCTGTATCAAGCCAGAATAAAGGAAAGTGCTTAGACCATCTGCTCTGGCCCAGTCAGTGCTCTCTATGAGGTGAGGTGTTTCACAAGACCACTGGAGTTCTACATGTGGTATTTATAAACCTTTTTCCAGTCCAATCCAGACTGTACCATTTCCATGGACTATTATGGAAAAAGCCACCACCATAGTTGTTCATCTGCCCACTTCTCTGGCTAGCGCTTGATGGTTTTTAGAAATAGACTTTCAAGATTACCCATTACACTGTCCATAGTAAAAGACTTTTCTGGACTGAAGACTAGTGGGGATCTGGGCATATTCTATGGGTCTCCCTTACATAAATTATCAACAGATGGGATGACACGGCCTTTGACATGTGACCTGTCACAGTAGGGTTGATAGTTGTTTTTAAGCTGATATATGTGATGATCATTTTACCTTTCTTTCAGTATCTATATATTAGAGAACTGTATCCAAATTTATCTGTCAATACAATTTCATTTTGTTTTTATCCAGCAAGTTCCTATCCTGAGATTAGACAGCGGTACTGGAATGCATACATGCTGTTTTATGAACGATTGGAAGAACAAGCAAAAACTCCACGAACACCAAGAAAAATATCAGGTCGTTTTTCATTCAAGAAAAGTGATTCTGCAAATACATGTAACAGGTAAATTCCTAGTTCCATTTAAGTTGTACAAGAACTACCATTAACAATTTAAGTATTCATCTAGTACCATTGTGTTCAAAACATTTATTAAGTACCAGTACCTTATAAGATGTTCTGGAAATACCAGTAATTCGTACTGTGTTTAGGAAGTACCAGTTGTAGGCAAGGTTTGGGAAAGTATCTTTTGGTATAAAACTTTGTTTGTGTTATGATATATTGATTTTTAAGTTCAGTGTTCTTACACTGATGTAACTTATTGTTTGAAATTTCATCCTTTACTACAGCTTTATCGGTTTTCGTGATTAGTACTATTATTATAATCACTGTAAAGTAATTGGCATTAAAAATGAACTCATTCCATATGAGGTCAGTTGATGTGACCAACCTTGTAATCACAAAGTTTCCATACTGTAAATTGTAATATAATCTGTGTATCTTAACAAAATTTAGCAAGCTTTCAATAAATGTTACAAGTCTTCTGTATGGAAAATATAAGATTTTTAATTACTTATTCTTAACAAATATTTGTCCATTAACTCTCTCAACATGGGCTCGGTCAATTTGATCGACCAAGTGACCTCTTTGTACTTGTTTAACCCGATGACTACCGGCTACTAACTTTCTTAGTAGGCAATGCAAGTCTTGCTAT